AGGTTTCTCGTGCAGTTTTCCCACCGCATATATCAATCGAATTCCCGAGTCTCGCGTCAGAGACAAGCCCAGCAACCATGCTCCTCGAAGAAACCCATATAGATGTGCCGACAAAGGCAGCAGGGGAGGGTTCAATGCGTATGCCATCCACACACCCGACCCTTGAAATGGTCATTCAAATGTGATCTGAGGCTGAGCAAAAATGTCCAAATTGGCACAAAACCGAAAAAGGCATCTTCATCTTTCATCCCACCATCGCTGGGTACCCGAATGCAAAGTTTCCCGGGGTCGTGGTGTTCTCGGAGATCTACCAAGGTAAATAAAAGAAAAAACTCTACCTGGAAGAGAAGAAAGAAGAAAAGGACTCTTTTTCTCTTCTACATATCCCCCCCAGACAGAAGTCATGCCGGGGGTAATTTTAATGAGAAAGAACCCCCGTCACCTACATATACACAACAAGTGTAGACTGAAACCACTTTCTTTCTCCTTGTAGTGACCGGCCCCGTCTCCCGCTTTGCCCGCCAAATCGCCGGCCAAGGCTACATCGTCGCCGCGCCCTCGTGCTACCACGAATTCACGGGTCCGGAGCCGCTCTCCTACGACGGCCCCGGCACCGACGCGGGGAACCTCTGGAAAATCACCAAGAAAGTCGCCGCCTACGACGAGGACGCCCAGCTGGCCGTGTCGTACCTGCTGGGCCTGAAGACGTGCAACGGTCGGATCGGCGCCACGGGCATGTGTCTCGGCGGCCACCTCGCGTACCGGTGCGCGCTGGACTCGCGGGTCAAGGCCGCCCTGTGCTTCTTCGCCACGGACATTCACAGCAGCACCCTCGGCGAGGGGAAGAAGGACGACTCCCTCAAGAGGGCGGGCGACATCAAGGGCGAACTGGTCATGATCTTTGGTACGGCCGACACCCACGTCCCCGCCGAGGGGAGGGACCTCATCCGCAAGACGCTGCGCGAAAAGGGCGTCGCCTTCTCCTTCTACGAGGTCCACGACGCCCAGCACGCCTTTGTCCGCGACGAGCTGAGCAAAAACCGCTACGACCCGGCCATCACGAAGGTTTGCTTTGAGATGCTCCTCGAACTCTTTAACCGGAGGCTCAAGGTCGATCTGGGCGAGCCGAGCGGCGAGAAGCTGGTCGTTGAGGACATCTGCTGACAACCAGCAAAGCTCTAAAACGAAGGACAGATACTTTGGAAATAGGGGACCAAAAAAAATCCAAGGCGGGACAATCCAATCCCCAGTAGAGGCTATTGATCATCTAGACCAGACAATTGCGATACAATAGATACACCCAACCCCGTACCAAGAATCGGGTCTTTTATATATTTTTCCCCGTTGGTCAGTTAAGCCTGTCTTTACAATTTTGCCCCGGGTTTCGTGGCCTCCTCTCCCGTCGTCTTGTACCCGAACAGATACGCGGCGACCTTGCGCATCTGGACTTCCTCGCTCCCCTCGGTGATGCGATATCGCCGGAAGTGTCGCCAGATGTGCTCAAAGGGGTAGTGTCGCGAGTATCCCACGCCGCCGTGGACCTGGATGGCTCGGTCCGCGGCCTCACAGCACAGGCGGTTGGCGTAGTAGTTGCACATGCCAATCTTGTGGCCCAGCTGCTTCTCAATGGCGACCCAAGGCGCCTTGCCGTTGGCCTTGGCCACTGCCGTGACCTGGTCCATCTCCACCGCGGTGCGGAGGATCAGGAGCCGGAGCATCTCGGCCTGAGTCGCGAGCTCCACAAGCGGCCACTGGATGGCCTGGTTTGCCGACAGAGGCTTTCCAAACACCATGCGCTTTTTGGCGTACTCGACGCTGCGGTCTACGCAGTACTGCGCCGCACCGCAGCTGGAAGCCGCCTGTCGAATCCGGTTCTCGTGCGTGAATGTCTGGGCGATGGCCAGGCCATTGTCCAGCGGGCCAAAAATCGCTGACGCGGGCACTTGGACTTTGTCAAAGAGCACGGTTGCGTGGTCCGTCGGCATGTTCAGCGTCCATTCATACGATGCAACCTTCAGCCCCGGTGTCTCTCGGGGCACGATGAAGGCCGTGATGCCCTTGGGGTCTCCGTTGCGGCCAGAGGTCCGGGCAAAGACCATGCAGTGCGTGGCGGCGTGCATGCCCGTCTGCCATTTCTTGTTGCCGTTGATCTCGTACCCGGGCTCGCCATTGGGTAACGTGATGGGCGTGGCCCTTGTGTCCATGTGGGTAGCGTCAGAGCCGTGGTAGATCTCGGTCAAGCCAAATGTGGCCTTGAACTCGCCCTTGATGCTGGCGGGGATGTACTTGTCCTGCTGCTCCTTGGTGCCATAGTGGTGCATCATGATGATGAACGGATTGTTGCCGACGACACTGTGCTCGTTCTGCAGGTCGTTGGCCAAGCTCACGCCGCCTCCATAGACCGGATGGGACGCCAGGTGATACCGGATGGCACACATGTACAGGTTCAGGTCCTCGCTGGCAGAACCGCCGAATTCCTTGGGGAAGCCGAATCGGTAGAATCCAGCTTCATCGGAAAGTTTGCGTGCTTGCTGGAGGAGTTCCTCCCAATCATGACGAGGGAGGCCTAGGTTGTCCCATTGCGTTCGCGAAGATTCGCGGCGGTGGTCGAAGAAGCGGTTATTGTCGTCCTTGTGCTGGAGCGGCAGGATCTTGTCCTTGATGAATGCGTCGACGCGCGATAGATAGTTTTTAAGCTCGGCGGGATATTCGAAATTCATCTTGTCTCTGGGTCGGGAAATGCAGCTGGGGGCAAGCAAAAGAACTGGAGAGGGGCTCGACACTGGTCTTGCTCAAGAACAACTTACCATCAAGTGCATTTTATCTGGGTTGACAGCTTTGACTTTGCATCTTGGCATGTTGTCGGCTTTGTCGAAGCGGAGTAAGGCGAGGCTGATGATGGAGAAACATTATCCTCGGATGCAGCATCCCTCGGTTCACTGACTTGGGCTAACAACTCATGCCACTTTGGGTGGTTTGACACTGGCACATCTGACAGATCTTCAGTATTGGGCTTGTGCTCTGCCGTAATTGGGACTCCGTGGAGCACCAGTGGATCGGCAGGATTGGCTTCCGTTTTAGCCGTATGGCCGTGGACACCGAGGCACCTGCGAATCTGGTCCCGGCGCCCTCATCAGCCTTGTTCTAGGTAGATTCTCCAACGATCTGAACGATCTGTGGAACGGGCCTCGCTCGATTTCGACCTCGACTGTTGCTGTGGCCCGTGGGCGTCGTCAAAACATCTTTGGGCATGCTTGTCTCTGTGTCGGTGTCGGTCGAAATAATCGGGCCACTACAGATGACTTGTTTTACGCCATCGATTGCCAAATCGAACGAGGGGAGAAGGGTCCTCAGAATTTCCTTGAGTTGGGGACGACTTGCTGCTAATGTTCAGGTATGCAGCCGTGGCAGCATCAAGTGCAGACAGCGGAATGGCCTGTCATATGTGAAGCCTTGGATCCCGGAACTCCTCTACCGTCTCAAGTTCAGAGACCATTCAGTGATGATGCACAAGACTGGGAGTCTGGCAAAACCCATTTTGGTGATGGGATCATTAGCTGTCCGAAGAGCATATGGTTGTTTTATGCCTAGAAGACGTGGCACGCAACTGCTTCTACTCGTACTCGGTGCTGTTCCAGGCACAGCACGTTGGGACCCCAAAGATGCCGAGTGGCTCTGTCTCGTCATCAGTTCTGCGGGCGTTCTGTGACTCGTGGCCATGCCAACTGCAACCCCTGATGATTAACCCCCCCAGCGCTTTTGGTATCTTGCCAGGGTTGTCTCAGACCAGTGTCGGATGCTGCTCGAAGACTTGAAGGGTGCACATGTCTCAATCTCGTTTACATACTAGACTCAGCAAGATGAGAATGTCAGATTGCAAGGCCAGAGCATCCTTCTTATCCGAAGGTGCAGTCGTCTGGTTTCCCTCCGACATGAGTCTCATGCATATGTGGTTCTAGCCATGTCTCTGATGGCTCCCCGCAGACGAATTCCGACTTCCCCATGCCAAACGCAAAGATCCTCCTCTTGTCCGTCCACACAGATAGGCGAACAGCCTCTGTGGCTGGCGGTGATGATCTCGAGCGCGGTAGGGTACGTTATCAGATTCCAGGAGAAGTCAGCATCGAGGGTTTCGAGGGAAGGCTATACCCAGGTGAGTCAGGAGGCTGAGTAGAAGCTGAGACCATCATGGCACACGGGCAAGCAGCACACGTTGGACGCTGCAGCAAAACGAGGCTCCAATCTCGGGATGCAAGCCACGGGAGCGCCAAGCTTGAATAGTTGCGGTGCACTAAGCCTTTTTGGGAATCTCCCTTCTCCTTTTTTCAACTTTCCTCTCACTTCCAACATTTGCACCAAGACAACAGTTGATTCTGTGGCTTGATCACGAAATTTTGGTCCAAAGGAACCCACAGGCATAGCGCGACTGTTGCACCGTTCAGAACTCAACCTTCTTTCGGAACGGTGGACCGGGGTATTACGCCAAAAGTGTCTCCCTTCTTCAGCTGCCAAACAAAGAACGGCGACTATCCCCCAGTGGTGCCAGTGTCCACAATCATCATGTCACTGGCCTGTCGAGGCCCCCGCCGGGAGAATCTCATGCGTCTTCCAGCCATGTGGCGCTGATCTCTAACAGGGTGCCAACCTAGTAGCTTTTGATATGATTCGATGACCCTTTGGACAAGGGTTTACAGAACTCCCAGAAGGGAGTAGACCACATGTGCGTCGTTCGCGCTTTGGGCTAGGTAAGATGGTGCTGCGGAGAAGGCTCAGCGTCGAGCGACGCCATCTACTACTCTACCTGCACATCCCTCGTCTTCCCTCCCTCTTCACTTTTGGTAAACCATCTTTGCGTTGTCGATTGGCACGCGTCCATTCGTTCTTCACCACAGTCGCTCTTTTTCCTTTGAGCTGTTGCTCAATGCAACATGCTGCCATTCTTTTATTTCCTTTTGTTGTCTGATGTGGCTTTTGGTGCATTGGGAAAATGGGACGGTTTCATGCCATGGAAGAAGAATCTGCTCGAACGCGACGTCGAACCGACCTGCTCTTGTACTGATCCGATCGCCGCCGAGTGGGCAACCAACAAATTCTTTGCGGATGCTGCGACATCTGCTGCGACCCCGGCCGGTTATTATCAAGCATTTAAAAATGGACAAGCATGGGTCTCAGGAGATGGGTTTATTGGACACACGACGATTGATGAGTACGATAGCGGCATCTGCGCAGCCATTTGCAATAGCATTGACGAATGCTCCTCGTTCGAAATCTACTTTGAGAAGGAAATCGGCGGACCAGCTCCAGCAATCAAGTGTTCTTTCTGGGCTGGTTCCATCAGCCCTGCTGGTCCAAACAGTGCAAATGCGGTCATCGCTGGTTGTAACGGCTACACTAACAGCACCTTGACAACTCCGAAAGGATTCGATGTGCCAGTATTCATTGCGGGCTCGGCGATCCATCCACCGCCGACCTCTGGGGCATTCATGGGCTCAAAGATCTTCTATGGCCCATTTGACACAGCATACTGCGCCAAGGAGTGTAGCGCGATCGGATGTAATTTCTTCAACACCTATGTTCTCTCTAGAGACGGTGTGAGCCAGGGTCAATATTGCGACATGTACGCTCAGACGTTCGGACCGGAATGGGCCACTGAAACTGGAAGATCAGATGGGAACACAAACTATACCATCTCTCACAGCTTCACCTGCCGTTCCGCTGGAGAAAAACGTGGTGAGAATCATTCCAATACCGGCAGCAATGGTGGCAAGGGAGGATCTTGGGAAGATCATCATCCCTGGCACGGGAGCAATCCCTATGCAGGCAATACTGGGAGCAGCTCCAGCAGTAGCTCAAGCACTTCGAAAATTTCTACTTCTGCAGGGCCTTCTGCGACCTCTAGCAGACCGGGAGGTAACGGTACCAGCCACACTAGACACTCACCATCTGCTTCGACACCAGTTTCTCCCACGGATGGGCACACACAACCTGGAGGGGGAACGGGGACACCATCGACGTCTGCTTCCAGCACGCCCACGAGCAGGCCTGGGAACAGCTCGGGAACCCTGAACCCAGTTGATCCTACCACCCGGAGACCTTCAACGACTCCAACCAGCCCGAGTGGCTCTTCGACTGGTGGTGGCCCAGGGCATTCAGGACCTGTTGAAGCGACTAGCTCGAAGTCGACTCCTTCCGGATCCGGACGGCCTCCACACTCGTCGCTCAGCAAGCCGAACCACGAAAGCCAATGGCTCGACTGGAACAGTTCTCAGTCATCGAAGACCACGGAGTTATCTTCGTCAACCACCCAAGAGCCTGTTGATGCGTCGACTACAGAGACCAGCTCGTTTTCCAGCGGGCGGCCAGGACAGCCAACTCGACCTCCGGGTGGTCGCCCACACTCTTCATCAAACAGAGGGAATAGTGGCTCTGGTGGCTGGGGGGATTGGGGATTGCCAACGGGACATAGTTCCTCCGATACTTTGACTACGACGACCACCTCGTCGAAGCCAGTCGAGGCTGCATCGACGAAATCTACCACCTCTTCCGTCCATTCTGCCAACCCCACTATTTCGCACCCCACGCGTCCAGGAGGATGGCCATCACACAGCGGATCAGAGAAACCGTGGCTAGATTGGACGTCATCGTCCACTTCAAGCTCTCTCATCGTCGATGACCTTACCACAACTTCTTCTACACCATCTACATCTTCTGCGTGGCCCCGTCCGAGCAGCTTCACCTGGCCAGCAGAAAATGGTACAGGAAAGGTCTGGCTGGATTGGACAACTTCGTCTTCAACTTCAAGCCTTCTGCCTGTTGACGCTGCAACAACCACCTCGATCCAGCCAACTACCACTTCCACAGGTTACTTCAATCCCAGCAGCCGCTTTGCTTGGCCCTCGGAGAATGGAACAGAACAGATCTGGCTGGACTGGACGACATCTTCAACTTCAAGCTCCTTGCTTGTTGACGCGCTAACAACAACCTCAACACTTCCAACGACGACTTCGACTTTGTCGAGGTCGGGTGGCTCCGGCTGGCCCTCGGAAAGCGGGACACAACGAGTGTGGTTGGACTGGACCACATCGTCCACCTCTAGTTCTTTGTTTGTTGATGCGGCAACAACAATATCGACGACCACCGCTACCTCGAATGCGGTGAGGCCTTCCGGCTCTACCTGGCCTGCGGAAAATGGTAGTGCATGGGAAGATTGGAGTAGGACATCTACGTCTACCTCGACCAGTCTTGCCGTGGCGGACGCAACAACTTCTTCTCTTCCTACAACCAGCTCTGGGGCAGTTTATTCTAGTTGGCCGTTTGAAAACGGCAGTCTATGGCTCGACTGGACCAAGACAACTTCATCTTCATCGACCGTCCTTCCTGTCGCCGATGCTACAACTTCTTCGCCTCTTTTGACCACCACTTCTCAGACCACTTCAAGAGCAGCTTACACCGGGTGGCCTTCTGAAAATGGTAGTCTGTGGCTGGACTGGACGCGGACATCTTCATCGACGTCGAGCGTTCTCACTGTTGCCGATGCCACTACGACTTCGCCCCTAGGCACGACTAGTTCCATACCTAGCTATTCCGCCTGGCCATCTGAGAACGGCAGCGCCTGGTTAGACTGGACACGAACGGTTTCAACTTCGACCTCGAGCATTCTATCTGTTGCCGATGCCACTACAACTTCACCCCTGGGCACGACTACTTCCGAACCTAGCTATTCCGCTTGGCCATCTGAAAACGGCAGCGCCTGGTTAGACTGGACACGAACGGTTTCAACTTCGACCTCGAGCATTCTATCTGTTGCTGATGCCACTACAACTTCACCCCTTAGCACGACCACTTCAAGATATGGATATTCTGCTTGGCCGTCTGAGAACGGTAGCGCCTGGTTGGACTGGACACGAACAATTTCAACTTCGACTTCAAGCATTCTCAGTGTTGCGGATGCCACTACGACTTCTCTAACCACAACTAGTTCTGAACGTGGATATTCTGCTTGGCCATCAGAGAGCGGTAGCGCCTGGCTAGACTGGACACGAACCGCTTCAGGATCGATCTCGACCTCGACCTCGAGTGTCCTCAGTGTTGCGGATGCTACTACAACTTCCCCAAGCACGACTAGTTTCAAGCCTACCTATTCTGGTTGGCCATCGGAAAACGGTAGCGCCTGGCTAGACTGGACACGAACAGTTTCGACCTCGACCTCTAGCGGTCTATCTGTTGCAGATGCTACGACGACTTCTCTAACCACAACTAGTTCTACACCTGAATATCCTGCTTGGCCGTCAGAAAACGGAAGCGCCTGGTTAGACTGGACAAGAACGATTTCGACTGCCACTTTCACTTCGACCTCGAGCGTTCTATCTGTTGCGGATGCCACGACCAGCTCTGGACCTGGATATTTTACTTGGCCTTCAGAAAGTGGCAGCGCCTGGCTAGACTGGACGCGGACAATCTCAACTTCAACTTCAACGTCGAGCCTTCTTAGTGTCGCGGACGCTACAACCAGTTCCGGACCTGGATATGCTACTTGGCCATCAGAAAGTGGTAGCGCCTGGCTAGACTGGACGCGGACAGTCTCAACTTCAACTTCAACGTCGAGCGTTCTATCTGTTGCGGATGCCACGACCAGTTCTGGACCTGGATATACTACTTGGCCATCAGAAAGTGGTAGTGCCTGGCTAGACTGGACGCGGACAGTCTCAACTTCAACTTCAACGTCGAGCGTTCTATCTGTTGCGGATGCCACGACCAGTTCTAGACCTGGATATTCCGCCTGGCCGTCAGAGAGTGGTAGTGCCTGGCTGGATTGGACACGGACAGTCTCAACTTCATCAACGTCGAGTGTTCTTGGTGTCGCGGATGCTACAACCTCTTCTCCAAGTACGACAAGTTCGAGACCTAATTATTCCGTCTGGCCTTCAGAGAGTGGCAGTGCTTGGTTAGACTGGACACGAACGATTTCGACTTCAACTTCAACCTCGAGCATTCTTAGCGTTGCGGATGCGACTACAAATTCACCTCTTAGTACGACAAGCTCACGACCTAGTTATTCTGCCTGGCCGTCAGAGAGTGGAAGCGTGTGGCTAGACTGGACGCGAACGATTTCGACATCAGCTTCGACATCCTCAAGCGTTCTTAGCGTCGCGGACGCGACTACAAATTCGCCTCTCAGTACGACAAGCTCAAGGCCCAGCTATTCCGCGTGGCCTTCGGAGAATGGAAGCGCGTGGTTAGACTGGACACGTACGATCTCGACGTTGAGTTCTACTTCCAGCATTCTTAGTGTCGCCGATGCCACAACCTCTTTCTTGAGTACGACAAGCTCAAGACCTACTTATCCCTCTTGGCCTTCAGAGAGTGGAAGCGCGTGGTTGGACTGGACGCGAACGATCTCAACATCAGCTTCGACTTCCTCGAGCGCTCCTAGTGTTGCGGACGCGACAACAAATTCGCCTCTCAGTACGACAAGCTCAAGGCCTAGTTATTCCGCTTGGCCTTCCGAGAATGGGAGCGTGTGGTTGGACTGGACACGAACGATTTCATCCACCTCCAGTGCAGTCTCAGTGGACGCGGAAACCACAAGCTCTTTGGTCGCCGCCACTTCGACTCAGAGTTCTAGACCATATGGCTCAACTTGGCCGTCGCACAGCGGCAATGGCTCTTGGGAAGACTGGGCAGCAACAACAACGTCCGTAAACCCGACGAGCTCTTCGGAATTGCCGGTTGATGCTATGACCACAACAAGTTCAGTTTCGTCGACGACCTCCATCGCTACACATCCGGGCTACCCCGGCTTCAATGATTCAAATTCTATCTGGCTTGATTGGAATCTGACGTCGAGGACTTCGTCGTTGCCAATTGAGGCTGTATCTACAGCCACAACCTCGAGCTCTTCCCTATCCCCAACCACGACCAGCTCGACTTTTGGTTACCCTGGCTTTAACGACTCGAACTCCATCTGGCTAGACTGGAATCTGACGTCCTTCTCGAAGACACAGACTACCTCTGCCTTGCCGGTCGACGCCGCAACTACAAGCCTGAGCTCCTCTTTAAGCACAACCACGAGCTCCAGTTTCGCATATCCCACGACAGGTAATTGGACAGGTCACAACGAGAGCGCGTGGCTAGACTGGAATTTGACTGTCACCCGAACAAGTACGCTGTATGTCGACGGTCAAACAACATCATCCTCGATCGCAACCACTACGAGTTCAGTCAGAGCTTATCCGACCGGGAGTTGGACCGAGTCACAGTGGCTAGATTGGACCAGAACTACGAGCTCTGGGATTGTATCTACGACCTCGAGCTCGCAGACAAGCTATCCAACATTCCCGGCCTACAATGGAACGGGCAATTGGTCCGACTGGCTGTCTAACTTGACTTATAGCTCGTCCTCAAGATTTGTTGCACCGCAGACAACCACTTCCTCCGTTCTTTCCGTCGATGCTACTTCTCTGCAACCTACCTCGTCCACCACTTCCGTTGCAGGATATCCGACGATTCCAGCCTATAACGGCTCATATCCTTCGTCGAACTGGACCGACTGGAATGGCACAATCCCGTGGAACGTGACTGACGGCAGAGGTTCGACCACAACGTCGACATTGTATGTGTCACCAACGGCTACAAGTTACACGTCAGGATCGACATCAACAATGGCCTCTCCTGTGGCGCCTACGACGACTTCGACCTGGGCTTACAATGGCACAGGCAGTGGTAACTGGACAGACTGGGCCAGTAATGGGACGGCTCCGCTGAACTACACGATCCCCCATACAAATTCGACCAATTCGACGGCAGGAGGTGGTAACTCGACGTATCCCGCCGGCAGTTCCTCTGGATGCAGTGCCACGGCCCCTTCGCAACTTCTGGAGAACCCATCGTTCGAATGCTCGGGCACAGGGTGGAACCTTGACGAAGTGGATATTGTCTGGGGAAGTGCCTCGGAGTCGTTGACATCTGCTAGGCGCATCCGCGATATCTTGTCCCCTGACTCGGCATATGACGGCAAAGGATTTGCCCGCTTTGAGCCCACTTTCGAAGATGTGACTGCCACTTTGTCGCAGACTCTTGCCGCTCCCGCCACGAGTGGATCGTATTGGTATTCTTTCGCGTATAGGGTTCCCTCTTCTGGCGTTACACCGGATGAATGCACGTTGACAGTTTCGAACGATGAAGGAACACTGGCAACATTGGGATCTCTCTCGGCCGCAAGCACCTGGACGATGACCGGCAAAGAATTCCAAGTCACATCATCGGCGAGCACATTCTCTCTGGTGTTTAGCTGCTCCGGCGTTCAGACTGCCTCACCAATTCTTGATATCGACAACATCAGAATGGGTATGGGCGGCGGCAATTGGACTGCTGTGAATGGAACCTCGGGCGGACACAGCAATAGCACTGGTCTTCCGACTTGGAGTGCTCCTTCCAACATTACGTATAGCCCGCCACCAACCAACCTGACTCGGCCGGACGAAGCCGGCAGCCCAATTGACTATAGCGGAGGAGCTGCTGCAGCGCCAACACAAACCACCTCCAGCACTGAGCCCGTGACCACTTCGACCGTGCTCGCTCCAGCAGCGCCGACACTTGCTGATTTCGAGATACCCGCACCTCCGCCATCTTCCTCATCAGCAGTACCAACGACTTCATCTCCGACAGCTCCAGCTGCAGCTACAGGCGCATCAGGACCGCCGGATGTTAGTGATCCTACGACATCGGCGGACCCTGTAGTCGCATCGACCACGGCTCCAGCTGCGGTTGAAGAACCAAGCACAACAACAGCGACGTATCCTTCCAGCACGGTGTTTTCTTCAAGGAACCGGGTCAAGAGGCACCGATATCATCGGAACTAGGAGGAGATGATGTATGTTGATGGGGTAAGTTTGGGATTTTTCAGGGAAAGGGGGAAGCGACCTATGGGCACAAGCAACAGATAATACCCCCCAGAGTGTTTTCTCTAGGTAGTTGACTTTTTATTAATGACTTGTGTGTTTCTTGACAACCAAGATTCGGACTCCTAAGCAAAGCAATTCTTCATGATCTTTCGGAGGGGGGCGGAGATTAATTGGCACCGCTGCAGTCGCCCATGGCCACTTTGAGTCTTTTGATTGCATCTTTCTGCGAACTGGGAAAGCGAAGGAAAAATGGGAAAAGGAAGATTCAAGGCGCACTACGGACGACGACTGTTCTCTCTCCCCTCTCGTCTTTGTTTCCTTCACTCACTCATTCTCACAATCTCGCTTTCTTTTCTTTCTTTTTTCTTCACGCCACAAGGGATTGAGATTTTCGGGGGACCTTTCATGGGGTTTGGACGTTTTCCACATTTCTACATTGATTGGATATGAGAAATTTGGTGTGGGCGCCAGTGATGATTGTGCGACTCGACGGGTGCTGTACGGAGTCACGAGGATATATGTACCGAGTACAAACAATGGAGTGTAGTGGCGCTTTTCCTTTTTCTTTTCCGTGTTCCGCGATCTGCCCACTCTTCCTCCACCTGTAAGGCTGGCGCAGATCTTTCTCGCTTGTGCTGGTGTACCCGGTGCCGCGCTAGCTCCGTTCGCTCCTATGATGATTGAAGACTAGGAACTGAGTATCGAGCACTTGTACCAAAAATGTATGTATGTACATATCTTCGTCAGGAAGGGCTTTCCCCGTCGTCCTTCTCGCTCTCGCTCTCCGTGTAATGAAGTGCCTTACCATGGTTCCGGCCAATAGGTTTCAGGAACCTCGGGGCTCGCATGAATCCTACCTTTTTCTCGTCAAGGGGCAGTTTGATTGCGTGACTCCCAAGGTATGGGCATTATGGATTATCAATTGTCCTCTCAAGCCTGGGAAATTCCATATTCCATCTCCTTCACGCACGAGTATCGAGCATGGAGATTTCATCTGCCCTACAAGAAACAATAACAACGCGTCGCCCACTTAAACACGATCATCTCGGACGTTTTCCCGCGCACCAGCTTCATCTGTTTTCCTCCAATGTAGTGCTTGATCCCTATATACTCGTCTCGCCGTATGTGACGGAGAAGTGTGACCATCCGGCCCGAGAGTAGTCAGGGGACCCACTATGCAGTCGGTAGCAAGACACTAACCTCCGGGGCTCCACCTGCCATGTACCAAACTAACCCGAAATAGTCAGGGGTGGCCATTAACGATACTGAACATGCCAATGAGGAAATCCATGACAACCTCAATGGAGAAGGCCACGGAGGAAGAGAGATTTGCTAGAGGAAGCGGACAAAGCTTGTGCGGACCCTACAAGGACGACACGAGACGAAGACGAGGAAGTAATCGAACATGCATACTCACTTGTGTACTTCTCCAGAGACCTACCCGGATATTTCCCTATGTCATCACCCTTCTCTTGATACGTCTCTTCGAGAAATACTACGTTCTCGAGTTTCATTCAACCCTTCCTTTTTCCATTTATTCATCGGACAATTATTCGGACAGGGCGTCCCTGGACCGGTGATTTGTGGCGTTTGTGGCGCTTGGCTTTTGCGGGATCCACTTCCTCCCCTCCTTTTTTCCCTTTCTCCTTTCACTCTGCCGTACATTCAACTTTCACTTCACACATTCATGTCCGCAAGAAACGTCTCCGCCATCTATGAGTACATACATCCTCGCCACTGCACATCACTACTCGTAGGATCGTGTACCGAGCACGGAGTTGTTTACCGTCATGGCTGTCTCACGCGTTCTACTCCACGACGATGCTTGCGATATTGACAGTGGTGATTACGATGATGAGATTTTGGGCATGGAGGAATCTCCTTGGGAGAGATCTTCTCCATCACCCGCCTACTCACTCTCCGAATGATTGACCGGGTTTCGGTAACGGCCAGTGTACCAGGCAGTGGCAGCGGCAGCAGCCTCAGCCTCGGTCTTAGCATCGGCATTGGCTTCGGTATTAGGGCTGGTATATTCTACACTGGCATCATCACCGGCAAGCAGTAGCAGTTGACACCAACGAAGCAGAATCCCCGTGGGACTGACAATCTGCAATCTGCAATCCCCTCGTCCTCGTCCCTTGTGGAGGAAGAAGGACGAGAGACCGGACTTTCATTTCCGCCACCGCAATACAATGACAGACTCTGGCCAGATTCCCAGAAACAAGACACATGATTTCCGTTATGTTTTTCCTCCACCACCCCGTCCAACCCCGGCTCCCTTTCCATTCTATTGCATCTTCCATATCAGACACACAGATTACAATCACGGTTCCCAACAAGTGGACATGCGGTGGCTCGATTATTGCCAGTTTTAATCTTAACGACTTCTGTATAGAGCGTGTTTGTGTCTATCTGTGTTTGTATACCGCGTTCATAGGTAGGTCCATACACACAGACATACACACATGCCTCTTCATCAATGGATGGATGGATGTGTATAAAAGGTCTGTGTCCTCTCGCATCGTTCAATCAGTTCTATCCAGCAATCGACAGTTTCAGTTTCTTCACACTCCTTTGACTCGGCAACGAGGCCATTCATTCATTTATTCGTTCGTTCGTTCATACTGACCACAGTCATTCATTTCCCCTTCTAAATCTCACCCCTCAGTCACTCCTTAAGTTACTCACAGACACAAGATACAAAAACACAAAACATAATGAAGTTCTCCAGCACCGTCGCCGCCTTATCGGCTGTCGCGGGCGTCACCCTTGCCATTCCCCAGGGAACTTGGTACGGACGCCCGTTCCCACCTTACGACTACTCAGACAAGCCTCAGAGCATCGACGCTGCCTCCCATGGCGGAGACAGCCACGGCGCATCCGCCAGTGGCACTAGCACTCGCGCCATCGTCGCGGACAGGGCTACGACCACGACTACAACCACTGCCTCGGCCACAGCGAACTGGAATGACTGGAGTGTAGATGGCGCGCACACATATCAAACTCAGAGCATCGACGCGGCCTCCCACGGTGGCCGCAACGAGAGCCACAGCGCATCTCACTCCACCAGCGCAGCCGCTGCGGTGGTGGCTGCGAACACCAGGACTACGGCCACGACTCTGGCGAGCAGCATCTACCGGGCTGCAGAAGGCACACATACATACAGGTCTCAAAGCATCGATCCAGCATCCAGCCGTGGCAACAGCGACAGCCACGCCCACCGCGCATCCACGACCACGACCACAGCAATCTGGAACACCTGGGCCGTCGAAGACGCACACACATACAAGGCTGAGACCACTCACGCACACGTCAATGACCCTAGCAGTGCCACTCCGGTGAGGGCTGCGACGACCACGATCACCACTACGACGAACAACAACAACCGGCATGTGGACGGCACACATACGGCCTCCACGACCACCGCCAACAGCAACGACTGGGACATCTGGGGTTTAGTTGATAGCATCAACTCGGACATCGCTGCAGTCTCCCACAGCGGCAACGACCCCCACGGTGCATCCACCACAAGCACTCGCTCTTTCGCAGCGGCGGCTACGACCACGACCACAACCGCAGCGAACTGGAGCGACTGGGTTGTGGACAGCGTCGACGCACACAAGGCCCAGGGCACCGACCCAGCTTCCCACGGCGGCGACAGCCACGGCGAATCCACCACTGGCACTCGCTCTTTCGCCGGGGTGGAGGCTGCGAAGACCACGAGAACGACCACAGCGCACCACAATAGTCGGGCTGTGGATGGGGCACACACGACATCTACCACCACGACCGTAGCTGAGTGGAGCAACTGGGTTGTCGACGGCGCAGACCCGTACAAGTCTCAGAGTGTCGATACAACCTCCCACAGCGGGAAGGACAGCCACGGCACAACTGCCACCAGCACTCGCTCTTCCGCCACAGCAGAGGCCGCGAAAACCACGACCGCGGATTCTGCCAACTGGAACAATTGGGTTGTCGACGGCGAACACACGTCCACCACCACTACAGTGACCCACAAGTCTGTGGAGGCATACGAAACGTCTACGACCACAACCAGGACCACGGACCCTGCGGATTGGAATAACTGGGTTGTTGACGGCGAGCACGCAAGCACCACCTCGGGGAACCATAAGAGTGTGGACAGCGCACATACGACCTCCTCGACCAAGGCCACAACCACGACCACGACCACTGACCCCGCGAAGTGGAACGACTGGGTTCTAGACGACGCACACACCACGAGCACAGCGAGCCACAAGTCTGTGGATGCGCACGAGACCTCGACAACTACAACCGCGGCCGCTGATCCCGCCAACTGGAACAACTGGATTTTGGACGGCGAACACACGACCACGACCACGACGAACGACAAGAGCATTGACGCGCACACGACTTCTACGACGACGACGGCCAAAACCGCCATCACGGATCCTGCCCACTGGAACAACTGGATCGTGGACGACGCACACACGAGCACCACGTCAGCCAACGACAAGAGTGTGGACGCACACGAGACCTCCAGGACCACAACCTCGACGACCACGATCGCCGACCCGGCGAACTGGAATGACTGGGTCGTGGATGACGCACGCGCGACCTCTACAAGCATTACCACGAGCACAGTGAACCACAAGGACCGGAGTGTCCACGACAGACACACGACCTCGACGACTTCGGACCCTGCAAACTGGAATAACTGGGTTGCGGACGAAGCACACACATACAGCCACACGACCACGACCACGACCACGACCACCGCCGCCGTCGCTGCCACCACAACAACTTCCACCTCCACCAGCTCCCACAGCAGCACGACATGCCTCAGCCACCCCGCGGCCTCCAGCATGGTCGACAGCTTCGCCTCCCTCCTGAACGCCTACGACGACGCGACGGCCGAGAAACTCCTCTCCCCCTCCTTCACCGACACGTCGGACTCGATCAACTTCTTGGCCGGCAAGCCGTTGGGCGGCGCGGCATTCGCGAGCAAACGCGCCTTCCAGCAGGGCCAGGGCAAGAGCCAGAGCCAGGGCGCGCAACCGCCCGTCACGTTCGACGTGCTGTCCATCGACGCCGTGACCTGTGACGTCATCGTGTTCCGGTGGGAGGCTGTTCTCGCCAATACTGGTGCCGGTGCGGGTGCCCGTGCCGGTGTTCCCGTAAAAGGCATCAACATCCTCCACACGGTCAACCCGACCGGCGCGGCCGACGGGTGGCAGATCGAGCAAGTCTTTTCAGAGTTCAACTCGGCCGTCTGGACCGTCGGGGCTGGCGGGTCCTGTGCGCCGCCTCCGGCGCAGCAGCATGGTCAAGCTCAAGCGAAAGGACAGGCGTAAGCTCCTTCGCTTTCACTAGGACAGGACAGGCCACAAGACGAGACAAGACAAGACACCTCACACACACACACACACGGCTCAGAGAGTACTTGACCTGACCTGACTTGAGGCAAAAGGTTCACAAGTCCCTACAACGATACATATGTTGTGGGCACGACGAGGTCCGGCCAGGTCAGGTTAGGACACCGCGAGACAGACCTCCCTCCCTACCTCCTTTCGAAAAGAAAAAAAGAAAAAGAAAACCCCAAACAAAAAGTATGATACATGCACGACACCGGTAATAATCACGGGCTTGGCTTAGCTTTGCTTCATCACCCTTTTTGATATTTACATGGCCACGAAAAAAGAAAAGAAAAGTTATCGGAAGGGAAGAAAAAGTTATTGGAATAATGGACAAACGGGCAAAAACGGCAAAAAAGGCAAATGCAAATTGACAAGTTGATAATGTGACAGACGGAAAATCTCCTATTTTTATGGCGAGGGGTTGAGCATGCTTTTTCTGTCTTTCTGTGTGATATATATTTCACATAGGTGTACGTTTCTCGTGTTGGTAATGTCAACGTGTTGGCTTCCATTCGTGTTATTAGCTCTCCAGATTCTGTCATTCTTGATCAGCCCAAAGTCCGCATCGATACTTTGTGGGACGTGTAAGCTTGGAACATGACATGCGTGTACACATTTATCATCTATCTTCTCTGGCTTCTCTAGCCTCTAGTATTACCTGCGGCCATCGCTCATAAACGAGTGTACTCAACTCATCTCGCGCAGCACTCCGTCTACACTTCAGTCTCAACAATCCTGACTCCAATGTAGCTGTGCCATTCGGGGCAACGTGTCAAAGCTCGAAAAGTTTCCATCTGCACTGATCCAGTCACTGGTGTTGCCGCTCAAGTACTTCCCCGCCGCCGCCGAAAAGAAACTCGTGACGTAGACATCGACCAGCGTCGAATCCGAGGTGTTGGCTCCAACACTGACATTGGCTTGCACATAATGTGGAGAAGAAGAGAAGCCCTGGTTGATGTGCACGATATTGTCACCGTCGTTGCCAAAGTCGTCCTTGGTGACATAGCCCGGTGTCTTAATCAAGGTGGTGGCATTGACTGGCAGCGGGGCGCGTTTGAAGACTTTGTCGGTCTGCATATTCGAGAGCAAGTTCTTTGCTGAGGACCAAGGGGCAGTCATGCGCAGCCAAAAGTTCTGATACGGATTCGTCTGATAGGCATTGTCGATGGTAAATGGTCCCTTCAGCAAGTCGTAGCGGAAACCACCAGTGTTGGTGAGGATGATGCGCGGCTGATCGGTACGGTTAGGAGCGACCACGACCGCAGGAAAGACCACATTCGTGAGGTAGTTGAATAGACTTTGATTCGAGCTGATGGGGAACCGGTCGAGATAGTAGTTATCCGGGCAGCAGCCGAGTTTGTTGGTCAACACTGGCAGACTGTTCACCGCCGCGGTGATGTTCTTGCTGATCGTCACACCCAGGCTGGAATTGAATGTCTGCTCGTTGGTGTTGGTGTGGAATTCAAAACTGTAACGGTTAAAGTCAAGATATTGTCTCGAGTAGGACAAGGTGGAGTTGGGATTGGCCTTGACCCCAGGCACGTCCGAGGGTTTCTGGGTGATTTTGGTGGCATTTCCCATGGGCGACTTAGCTTTGGTGACAGCGCTAGGCAGACCGTTGACCGAAACCCAACCCACTGTCTCGCAATACCTCCCCGAAGCAATACCCACGGCCGACGCGTCAAAGACCACGGCGTCACGCACATGTCGATGACCCCCAAAGATCTGGATGGGAATGGTAGGATGATGTTGGCGAATGGCCGCGTAGATCAACCCCCATTCTGGAGAGTTCCGAAGAGTGATATGTCCCGCGACCAGAAACATGTCGATATCCGTCCTCTTGACCTGTTCCTGGAACCAAGATTGTTTGACAGCATCACCAACCGGGGTCACAATGGTTGCATTACTATTACCGGTGAAATTGAAAAGAAAGGCAAAGGACATGATGCGGACGCCCATCTTCGTCTTCCAATACGCATAGCGATCGGAGAAGGGCGTGGGGCTGCCAGTGAGATTGAACTCGACATTCGAGGTAATGTAGCGGCCGGCCCAGTTCGGAGCAAAGTTGTGATATGTGTCATTGGCGGTTTCTGTCGTGTAGAGTTCATGGTTGCCAATTGACAGCAAATCATACGGTAGCTTTTTGAATATGGGCAGGGTGAGCTTCCCGTTGGGCTTCGTCGCATCTCCAAACCCAGTACCGTCATGTAAGTCCCCCGAGTCGATGAGGAGTAGGTCGACGCCCAGCACATCCGCCTTGGCCTTCATCTTCTGCACAAAGTCGGCAAAATCGCCGTAGTCGGCACTGTAATTGTCATCCAGCAGGTGGCCCGCGAGCCAGCCATGGGTATCCGTGGTGTGAAGGAAATTGACCTGACCCCAGTGCAAGTCCTTGATCTGTTGCGGCGGGGTAGGGAGAGCGGCTGGCTGGATCCGTTTGGCCAGGTCATGTCTTTTCATCAAGTCGTGGTCGACATAGCCTCCCAGGACCGGAGATGTCCAATCATGGTCGTCGCATGAATAAGAAGGCTCCAAGAACGCGGCGAGTGCAATTAGCGAAGTGAGCAGCATGGCGGACACCTCGAGAGAGCCCAGATGACTTCCAAAGAACAAGCGACAATAGCTTCACGACAATATGAACAGCCTCACCTTGCTGGCGAGGCAGGAAGAACGGGGCGGCCGGGACTTTTATCTCGCTGTGGTATAAGATGTGCAGGAGCTGCAGAGTGGTGCTCGCTTCATCCTCCTAAGATCCAAGGTGGTAGGTAGTAGAGGTGCGTAAGGCCATCGGAGCTGCTACTGCAGGTAGCCGCAGCATAGCCCTGCCGGATGCGGGAGAGGAAAGGCGAAGGAACCCAGAGTGCCATGTCAGATGGATGGTGTGAGGATGGAAAGGCTCACAGGTTGCCAGGCTGAAAGAGGGCATGATCGAGGCCTGGATCATCAGTGGCTGAACTGGACCACAACTTGAAGCTTACCAGCAGCCCCAAAGCAACTTGCTCCGGAGCTTGAGCTCGGGCAAAGCTTGTAAGGTAGCAGGGTAGCAAGGCGTTGTTCTAGCTCCTTGGATGGCGGCTGGGCACACGACACAACATACGAGGGTCGTTGGGCTGACAACAGCACGAGGGGAGATCAATTGGAGATGATCGGAAATGGAAACCTGATGATGATCATCTTACAAGGGAGGAGCTTTTCAGTGGATTTCAGTCGCCAAGCAAATCCTAGTACGAAGCGAGGAAGTACGAGTATCGAGCACGTGAGTGCACATGGCTCGTAGACAATCACCATCCGCAGGCACTCCGTAGTAGCAGGGCTCATCACCATCCCAGCCTGCGCCCATACATCTTACTTTCCTTGCCAACTTCCACATTGTCTATCTTGAACTTGATATATGGCTCATAGCTCTATACCCAAAGTCTCCAGGTAGCGAATATCCATTCCTCTAACAAAAGTGTCGTACATCATGCAGAGTCTTATTTCAACATGGCCACGTCTCATTTCATATTCATCAACACATGATCGGATTCACCGCAAATGCCCCCTGTGACAGCTTCGTTAGCACCACTATTATCGAAATTAGCAGAAAACACTCACCTGGTTTTGCATCGCCAGTTCAGCAAATCTCCTCTGTACATTCTCGTCATCTTCCAGAAGCTTGTCAATCACCTTGACATCGTCGATGACCCAGAAATCCCGGAAAGCTACCACAATGTTTTCGGTATGCTTGCGCACCACATCATCATCCACCGCGGCAAAGCAGAGTCGGTAGTATTGCCAACCTTTCTCCTCTCTGATTTCGGGCGTAGGGCAAAACATGCTTCCAGGGGCCAGCAGAACAAGGTACGGCTCGGTCGTAAGCCACACCCAAAGCGCTTGGGAAAGTCGTTGATGGTCGACCTCGTTGAAGAGAGGATGTGTTTCAAATCGTGCATGCAACCAAAGGAACATGCCAGCCATAGGGTAATCAAAATCGTACAGCTGCGTCTTGTGGACCACTTCGTATTCAAGGTCATCAGGCGCAAAGGCGTTTGATTTCGGCTTTGACTCTTGAATCAGATATTTCCCCTCTTCCAGAGTCGACGCCATAATCTGCATTCGTCGTTCGTAATTGCCCCGTAAGCCTTCGAGCCATCGAACCCAGCCGTCCGCCTTCCATCCCCTACCATCCTTGCTACCTCCTTTGCCGGGATCGCCGTCGTGGGAGGGTCCGATGATGAGTTCCGCAATCATACTCTGAACGAATCCGCTGGGTTGCTGGGTGCTTGTCTCCGTGATACGCAGGATTCTCTCAATCACTTCAGGCTGGGCTGTGATCCAGCCTAATCGACAGCCCGGAGCAACTGTCTTGCTGAAAGTATCTAGTCGGACGACTCTTCCATCCACATCAACCGAGAGGTATGAAGGGACAAGGCTATCCAAGAATGGAAAACCACTGGATTTGCCACCGGGGGCGGTGTTGTAGTTGTATGAGCTGTCCGAGGGGAAGTTCTCCGATACAAGTTGACCTCTGTTTCTCATGGACAGCTCATTTGCCGAAGGATATTGCAGGTACCAGTACGGATCGTCTTCGATGATGATGATGTCGTATTTTGAACACAGGCCATAGATTTCTTTCCGCCTTTTTAGTGACAGTAATCCAGAGGTTGGGTTTTGGCCCATTCTGTTCCTGTTAGTGCAGTTTATAGTGTGGTCAAGATGGCACTCACGTCACCGTATACATCAAATGTGGTCTCTTGCCCTTGTTTTTGTCCCAGTTCACCAGGACTTCCTGCAGTCCTCCCTTGCCATACGCAACCATTCCTTCGTCGTCCATGGCCACTGGGACCACATTGAGCCCTCGAGGCCGAGCGGCTTGAATGGCATTCATGTACGCGAACTCTTCGCATAGTATGCCCTCACGTTCTCGAATCCAATCTCTTTCCTCGTCCCAGATGTTGCTGAAGCATTCAAGCGCCTTCGAAAATCCATCAGTAGAGCCACAGGTCAAAATCACGTCTGGTCCGTCCTTGTAAGGCACATTGGGATGGAGATTTGTGCGTGCAAAGTCTCGTATGAAACTGTAGAGGGGCGGATATCCCTGAGCGGTGCCATATTGCAGAGCGGTGGTCAGGTCGATCTTGCGCAGGAGGTTTGGTTCGGCGGAATCGTGGGGAACAAGAACGCGCGAGGCTGTTGGAGCTTCTGAGAGACATATCTTTGCAGCCTCAGACGCGGGGGGATCGACAGGCCTGTTGGGAGTGGGCTTGAACCGATCGGGGAGCGCCGTGGATGCTTCCAGCGTGTCATACGGAAAGTATCCTGGGTTTGGAAGTCCTGGTAACGGTCAGCTAGCCAGACTCAACGTCAAAGCGACAACTTGCCTCCAGCAAGGTTTCCGATCCCGGGAATAGCAAAATATTTATAGAAAGCCTTCATCTGGCTGGCAGCACGACGCTTGGTGACCCGCGAATAGAGATGGGACATGTCCTTGGGCGCAGGTTTGTCAGTGCTGGTCGCCATGGCTGCACAGTGTTGGGGCTGTCGGGCTGAAGCGATAGTTCTGTCCAAGGTAAGTCAGTCACCTAAAGAAGGACCCAAATGTCCAAAATCAAATACAACTCAGAAACTCCAGTCAGCGGGAGAATTGTAATCAAGAAGTTCCAGTTGCATTGATCGATGACTATTTGACACTGGCATGGCGTGCGGCCAGAGCCCGACTGCCGACCCCGATAGCGATAAGGAAAGTCCATTGACCACCGGAAGACGCGTTCCGCCAGTGCCTGCTGGAGTGAGGCTAGCGCAATTGGGCGCCCCGTCCCTGGTACTGGCTGGTGCTGGTATATTTATTACTCAGCATCCCCGTCTCTTCGGCATCTTGACCTTCCGCGCCTTTGGGGACGAGTCTCGGTCGAGAGATGTTGGGAGTCCCGGTGCTGTTACCATGCGGACATCGTCATGCTCTGATGATTTGTGTGCAGCTGTATTGATTTTCTAGGCCGCTAGTGAGTATGTGCATGTCGAGTCCATCAACTCCCAGTTCTCCATCATTAGCATAACCCTGTGTCATTCATTATGTTCTGGATGTCACCGTCCATCACGCCCGTCGTTGCTTTCCAAGATGTGCAATGCCGTGGGAGATGCAGTCTCAAATTGGTGGTTCTCTCTTCGTAACCCGCATCCACATGTCGCTTACAATGAAGACTCCTGCACTAAAGGATTTCCATGGGTGCTGAGGGTCGACAATGGTGAACTCGAAATTCCGAAGAAGCTGCAGCAGGGGCAGGTCAGAAACTGTTTTGGAACGCAATCGTCCAAAGAGCAAGTCTGGCACCAAACTTACCTGCGCGAAGACCTTGTTGAGTTCAATGAACGCAATGCTCTTCCCGAGGCACGACGACCTCCCGTACCCAAATACCATGTCGACATTAGCCTCCTTACGCTTGATCTCCTCCGGTGTCCCCTCCAGGAATCGCTCGGGTCGAAACACCCTAGCATCGGGGCCCCACAATCCCTCATCTAGGAACAGGCCAAATGCACAATATCCGATCTTCGTTCCTCCTGGGACGTAGTACCCGTTGAGGGTGTCTCCCCCAGGCGGCACAGACTTGGACTGGAGCCCCGTAACGGGGGGATGAATGCGCAAGCCTTCTTTGATCACAGCTTGGAGATACGGCAATTTGCGGGCCTCCGAGTCCTGAATGGGATCGGAGATGTTGGCGGACGAAAGCTCGGTCAAAACTTTTGCCAAAACCGGCGGGTTGGTGAGGATATGAAGCATCGTCGCACGTATCGCCGATGCTGTGGTGTCGCTGCCGGCGAGGATTTGGACCAAGGTCTCCGTTTCGGCGTCTTCTTGTGAGAGGCCATGTCGAAGGAATGATCCCAGCATGTCCATTCGTGGTTTTGCTCCAGGTCGGAATCTCTCAGCTACCACCTCCTTTGCCACTCCCATGATTTTACCCAGGCCATATGCATCGGTATCCTTTGGCATAAGAAACCTCATCAATGGTGACTGAAAGACCTTGGACAACCCTGGAAACGCTGCACACAAAATCATGGCCGGAATGGAGCTTTCTGTTGTCTGGATATACTGGAATACATCTTCATCCTTCTCAAGGTATCCGAATGCTCCCCCAAAGGCAATGGTGGAGAGGATGTCGAGAGTCAAGTATTGTGCCTTCCGTGCAAAATCCATCGGTTTGAATTCTTCGGGGGTGGAGAGATAGTTGCGTTCGATGAGGCCGACAAGCTTTGCAATACACTCGTCGATTGACTGCTCGAGGGTGGGATTCTCTTTGCCAGCATACTATTGACAGTGTCAGCATCCCACGACCAAATTTGGAAAACAGCTTCTATTCAAATACCCCAGGGGCCATCTTGGCGCGAAGCATCGCATGTCTCTCCTCGTTTCGCTCGGAGAGAATGTTATCACGATCGACTCGAAGGGCATCATACCAGTCAGATCGACGGTACGGAGATCTAGCCGCACCCATTGTCTTGAGTATTTCGGGGTCACATGTGATGAGGTCGTTCGGTCCGATGCGAACGAGGGAACCTACGAGTTACGTGTCAGCCAGAAGTGAATTTTGGCACCCCCCTTTTCAACGGGGTTGTACCATATCTGAAGCATTGTTCCGCAGACTCGATGTACATGGACCCATCCCAAGTGTGTTTGAGCAGCCATCCTTTTGAAAACCCAGCGGAGAAGGGACCAGGGATGTGTCGCAGGCGGTACCAGTCGTAAAATGTCTTTGCGAACGAGTAGATTAAGTAGGCCCCGAGCCCAATACCAAGGTAGGCGAGGGCGAGCATGTTTGCTTCCTGGGGAGTACAAGAGATAGATGTGATGTCCAACTTGTGTTCACCGCGGGGAGAGTTTCAGATCGGATCTCGCATCGTACGTGTTTGCCCTTTTTTGCGGGAGCTCTCCGTGATGAGCAACGGTGCCGATTCCCTACTGTGGATCACACTGTGAGAAGCAAAAGACGAGATAAGGAAGGACTGACAGCCACGTCTGGGGGAAGATGTCGTACAGCAGATGTCAAACGGCGGCACCCAAACGGGTCTGTTGCAGTAGCGTTGGTCTGTTGGTCAGTGACCATGCAGTGAGTAACGAGTGAGGATGGGGTGGCATTGGTTCCATGTTCCTGCGGGTGCGGCGAATCTTGACACCAGGTTCCCACAATTTCTTCACGGCAAAGAGGGAAGCTACACGGGTACCAACCGGGGGGGAGAAGTTGCGTTTCACACATTCACTGCATTCTCGATTTGTCTGGGTCTGGACCCGCCCTTTGAGGTATTTCCTGGATTATATTATTCGTCACCGAACAGCGGGACTGCATATAGCCCAGAAAGTTATTGCTACTACCTCCCTACATGTCAAATCCTACCGCCAGGTTTCCCCAAGTCCTTCAGCTCGCTTACCCGGCCAACATGTGTTAGTCCTAAGCAGCAAACCTGCTGGATGCCAACCACATCTGCCGGCGTACAACATTTTGGCGTCCCGATCGGCTATTGGGGCTTTGTCCCACTGATGGAGTATCTGATGTTTCACCCGTCAGTCTCGCCCATGTCACAGCGCCGGAACACGGAGGGGTTGCTCACATGGGCCAGAACGCATGATACCTCGTGTTCCTCATGTCTTTGCGAACGTCGATCAGAAATGCCTCGAGCTCATCTGCTGTCCACGCTAAACCTCGTGTGAAAAGTGCCAGGCTGATGCCGGACAGCGAGGTAGTGAAGTTGTGATAAGTCCAGATACCTGCAGAAGTCGGCTTCGTGAGCATCTTCGGCTCCATCACATCCGGGCCAGATTGATGCAGGCTCACCGATCTTGGTCAGGGTGGACTCTTTCTTCCATGGGTTCATTGGCCAAATGTAGGGTGTTTCCACCACGTCGACGAAGCCCGTCTCAATCATAATTCCCCTTACAGACTCAACACTGTCCAGGGGACACCCCAGCTGCTTACTCGCTTCGAGCATATAAGCTGCCCATCTGGCCAATGCAGAATTCGCGGGAAGGGTTCCGTCCTCACACGTGAGATGGAACGATATATCTTGTACCTCAAGCATCGCTCCCGGGGCAAGGTTTCTGTGCGAACGATCAGCACCAACGACAAGTTTGAGCTTGGCTCTCGCCCTTACTCGTAGCATTGCCGAATGAACTGCCTCCAGTCTGCAATAGCACCTGTCATGAATCGGCTGAAGATGAAATCGAATTGGTAGCCGAAGACCCATGGTTGCCCGACGTCCATGATCTCGAACCTCACGTTGGGGGGAACACTACTTGTCAAAATGAGCAAACGAAGACCGGGAGTCTGATTAGACTTACTACGTCGGTTGCACAGGGCTGACATCCACCCCGAGCACCTTTTCTCTGTCAAATGTCACTCACGTGGGTTCCATGGCGGCAGCGTCAACTCACCATGGCTTCCGGATGAAGGTCACCTTTGACACCATGTCAGTCGCCCTCTCTTCTCGGAACCGGGAGACGTATTCCCTTACCGTACTCGACGGACCAGATGCCCGTCCCAGTGCCGATATCTAGCACATGGTGCAGATCTCTGGTCTTTTCCACCCCACAGGTCGACAATTTGTTGTTAAAGGTCATCTTGAGCAGATGATGTTGGAGGTCTAGTCAGACCTACCGTTAGCGAACCCGTGATGGAGAGGGAACCAGGGCGAGATACTGTACCTAGACGATCTAGCTCTATCTGTCAAGACAATGATATCAGCACCGTGGTCTCCGACCTGTCAGGTGACAGCGGGGCAAAACACCAATACCTCATCGTTGGGCAGGACATATGCTGAAGACAATTAGTTCCAGGTAAATACGTGCTTCAATGACGTACTTCGCTCGCCGTAGGCGTTGTATGTCCTCCCATGTTCTTGTATGTAATCAAAGATACTTGAAGTCAAAGACGACGTGGACAGAAGATCATCTTCCTGAGTGGTATGTCAGCTTGCCATCTCTGTTTTGACATGGTTGAAGGTTCACATCTCCAAGTGCCGAGTCAGCGTCATCCGCGGCGCCTATGGGCGGGTCCTGGCAAGCGACATCAGTATTCGACCGGAGCCATGTAAACAGCAAAGAGGTGATCAACCCTACAGGATCAGGATCAGGCTCGGTGGGGGGATCATGATCTTCCATTGGGAGTGACATCAGCCACAGAGGACTCAGAGGACATTTATTGAGGAGGAATGATGGAGACTTCCATGAGAAGACGTATTTAGAGTCATTCTTGAAGGGACTTGCATTGTTTGCTTCGAGATATACTCTGCGTTTCTCTGCGAAGCGCAGATCCGAGTCTATCCAGTTCGTGTTGCGGTTGTGAACCCTTGTCTGTATGCTCCCTTTGCTCCCCCGAATACCTGGTGTAACGTGTGATGCATGGGGATTTAAAGACTGTCTGCTTCCGGCTGGCTGCGTTGTGTATCTCCCACCTCTTGCGGCGTGGCACATCACGGACAGCCTGATTTGATCTCACGCCATGTGGCCCAGTTGGTCACACAAGATGGCTTAGTGAAAGGATCAAGGTTCCATTGGTGTAAACGTTGTTCTAGGGCTGCTGTCGATCAACGAGCATGATATTTCTGATTGAGTTTGATGGTCTCAACGGTTGGGGGAACTTGGGAGAGCTTCTGCTTCGAGTTCGATCCTGATATGCAAGGTTTTTTACCTTTGCTGACCATCCTTTTCGATTTGTAGCTAGTTTGCAAGGAAGATCTGTTCTAGGCTACAGCTGCCTGCGACAGTGTAGCTGCACCACACCCATTTCGGATGTGATATGACGTGTATCACAGACAACATCAATACCAATATTTGCCGGCGACTTATTGGAAGCGTAGGTGGGATATTACGTAGGAGAAGGGTCAACTCGTGGCATGACCAAGGCAATACCCGAGTTTGGTCTTCAGTCGTTGGTGTTCTAGGCCCATCAGCAGGAACTGTGGTCGGATTTGAATCGTGGCTTGAAGGTTGCAAACACGAGCAGCCGTTGCTGCTGTGGACCACTCGGGTAGAAGCAACATGGGGGATCCATGTCAGGATTTGTACGAGGTTGTGCGGTTTTGACTGGCTTGACTGGTTGGACATTCACTTCCTCGACGACGCGTGGGGGAGACTTGGCAGCTAAGAGACGCGTAGACGGGAAGCGCCTCCATCCGACTAATTATTATCTCGAGGACTCACCACTGGTGAACCCTCCCACCCAATGCACAGCTAGTCACTATAAGTCCACATCCTTGTATGAATGCAGAAGGTCGCGTCTAATATGGACTTCTTCTCCTCGTTCAATTTCTCCATCATCGCCATGGTCGACACTCTGCATATGCAAGACTGCGGCATTCCACGTCGACTCACCCAATGACATTCACTCCTGTGACCAGCCCCATCTGCGGCCCTCCACGTTACCTCCTCCATCATCATAGTTCCCCGTCCGTAACCATATCCTTTCTGCCGTTATGCTCGTGACCTCTTCTCAGCGGTTTTATCTTCCGCCCTTGGGTCCTTCTCGCGTCGTCTTTTACAGTTACCCTCAAGTCGATCGAATAACAAGACTGGCTGGGGATCACGGTATTCATGTCTCCGTAACTAAGAGCTAGCAGACCAGCCAAGGGTTACACTCAGAATGCATATTCAGCCAGCCTCCATCACAAGAGTAAGGTCCCGCAAGGAAGCGGCGCAAAGACAGTGAAACCATGCGCATACTCGCTTGAGTCTGCCAGTGACTCGTCCATCTCAACGATGCAAGGGAGTAATCATCCTTCCAATATCGCTAATGAAAAATTCATCAGGTCGATCCAGTACAGAGATGGTCGCCTGGAAGATGAGGCCATACTCGGAGTGGAAGCATGGACATGGACAAGCAGTGGTGACTTTATCTCCAGATGTCCTCCCTGGTTCTGGACTGGGGGGTCCGTCAAAACCAAGCAAAACATTGCATACCACTCCAGCGAGCAGCCAAACCTCAAAAAACAAGACTTGCCAAATATGTGTCTATGGATGGCTAACACCCACCAGAACTTCGACAACCTTGGAGGCAAGCACATGAGACATGAGGCGCCGCTACGCACCGTCCTGTTGACACAACCTTGAATGATGGAAGGACTTCAAGAGGCGAGTTGACGGGAATTCACATCAAGAAGGGCAATATACCGCGTCTTGATCGGCAGGGGGACTTTGTAGCTCGCCACATTTACGTAGAAGTCCAAGAGTGCACATTTGAACATGCTGTGTAGGTAGAACTCCAATTGCACTCGATACTTCTGAACGAAAGCCGTGTCCGCGCTGTCAACGTGCTAGCAGCTTCACATTGGTGACATCTCAGACTTGAAGAAATTACCGGATGGCTCGGTCGTGATCTGCTCTTGGCAGCCTCATTTGCCGCAAGCTTCCGGTCATGCTCAGCCTCGTGGGCTGGTAGGGACAACAGGCATAATTGTGTACCGAACCTGCTTGGGAGCGGTGATGGCGGTGGTTGTCAACATGAAGACAATACATCATCGATTAGGTGTCGCTGGAGAAGTACAATTACGGCGTATAACTGTAGCATCCTGGTGCGTGGCAGCCGAGGCCGCAGATGAGCTCGGCGGTGTCTTTCTGCCAGCGTCAGCAACACGCCGCGCATTCAACCCGCTTCATTCGCTTCTCATCCTCAGTCACACGCCTCGTTTATTCTTAGCATTGGGTTGTTTGCGTGTCCCCTGACCTGCTTCTGGTCCCATGCTTCTGCCTTGTATCACAATGTCCTCTCTTGCATAGCTACTGCGGAATTGTTAACCTCTGTACCTTCGAACCCTCTGAATCCTAT